TACATAGATCTAAAAGTGTTTACCCTATTGTGCACAACGAGAGACAAAAAGATTGTGGATTTCCGCACAGATGACTTCTTCGGGTTCTGGGTTCAAAGCATCGAGGAGCAAAGCTTCATTGCCTTCTTCGAGTGTGTTTGTTCTTCGACCTTCTTCATCGTCCAGAACAGAGATATGAGAGATGTGTGTGCGTGTGTGTGAGACCAGAGCGAGACAACAAAAACCCACAATTTATACCTACATAACAAATAGGGCTAATTTCAACTTACACCCTAAAAGATCATTCGAATTTTAATTTATACCCTCAAAGTTTAAAAATATCAATTTATACCCTAAAAGACATAAATTTGTGTTAATGTGCACCAAGGGTTGGCTACCATCCATTTTGTCATTAAAAAAGTTTGGAATAATTACAAACTACACCTTTAAAGTTTAAATATTTCACATTTATGATTAAAAAAGAATTTATCCATTAATACTTGTTAAATACCTCTCAATTGTGTCGTATCATGTTATTTTGTATCATGTCATATCATTTTCGTGTTGTGTTCAAGTCGATAAAAAAATGTTTTTAACACAAAATATTTTCATATCGAGTCAATTGCATTATATCGTATATTTCACATTTACGACAATTTATATAATACTATTTAATATTTTTTTTAAATTACAAAAAATACTTATTTTTTTACCTACAATGCTCATTAAATAGCTTTTTTTTTCTACACTTGTGTTATTCAAATCTAACTTTAATTTGATCGAATAGAAAATTTGTGTCTAATTGTAGACAAAAACTATTTAACAAGTATAATAAGCAAAAAATATGTATTTTATAATTTTAAAAAAAAATTAAAATATTTTTTTATTGATTCGAACATGACACAAAAATGTTATGGTACGATACAATTGAGAGCTAATTAACGAGCATTAACAAAAGAATACTATTTTTGGATCATAAATATGAAAATTTTGAGTTTTAAGGCTGCAATTTATAATTAATCCAAACTTTTTTAACGACAAAATGGATGACAGTTAATCTGAGGTGCACATTGATACGAATTTATTTCTTTAAGGTGTAAATTGATATTTTTAATTTTGAGAGTACAAATTGAGATTCAAGTGATCTTTCAATATACAAGTTAAGATTAGCCCTAAAAAAATAATCCAATGTTGTTGTTAACAAGGTTCGAGACCTCATTAACAATTTGGGAGAATTATACTCAGACCTCTTGAAATTTGTCATTTAATCACTTAGATCCTCTGATATTTGAAATATTATACACAACCCCTTGAGATTTGTATGCGACTTACACTTAGACCCATGTCGTCAATGTGTTAATAAATCCATTAATAAATTACATCCATAACCCTTAAAGTTTATAGCGTGTAATACTTAGACCCCTCAAGTTTGAAATATTATACTTAGATCAAAAATACTTCAATTAAAAATAGAATATCAAATATTTTAAATTTTACAACCAAAATTCATATTCTATTATTAAATTTATTGAAATAAAATAAAAAATAAAAATCTATTTAAAAAAAAAAATCATAATTAGTATATAATCATACTATCTATTGGAATTTAATTTAGTCATTTAAATGACCAAATTACTCCAATTAAAACTAAAATATATTATGTTCATTATAGTTTGGTAGTCTTATCTTACTCAATAGCTCGCGTTTGTTCAGTTGAATGAATGTGAACTAAAACCTCTCTGAATGCTCCATCCGTTGCCTGTTGCCTTCTCCTCCAGGTTCCCGGTCTACGATTCTTGGGGCAGAGCCTACTAATAACTGATACATATAGGCGCATCGAGCTAATATAGCTGGAGTTACTTTGACCATTTGGTCATTTAAACGACCAAATTATCCCAAGTAAAATTAAAATATATTGTGTTCATTATAGTTTAACCTCTTATTTGATTTTTTTAGTTTTATTTCAATAGATAGTATAATTATATATTAATTATGATTTTTTAAGAAAAAAATAGATTTTTATTTTTGATTTTATTTCAATAAATGACATAATAAAATATGAATTTTGGTTTGTAAAATTCATGTTATGTTATGAATGACTTAAATCTCATGCTTGATTTTTTTAGTTTTGTTTCAATAGATAGTATAATTGTATACTAATTATTATTTTTTGAAAAAAATTAGACTTTTATTTTTAGTTTTATTTCAATAAATGATACAATAGATAATGAATTTTGATTATAAAATTTAAAATATTTTATATTCTATATTTGATTGGGATATTTTTTGTCTAATTATATCATTTTAAACTTAAGGGGTGTAAATATTATATACTTACAAACTTTAAGGGGTCTGAATTTAATTATTAACAGATATACTAACGGACATTTGACGGCAGAGGTCTAAATATTACATGTGTACAAACCTTAAGGGTTTGTGTGTAATATTTTAAATTTTAGGGATTTTGAATGATTAAATGACAAACCTCAGCGGTTTGAGTGTAATTCTCCCTAAAAAATTTTGAGTCAAAATTCGTGTGTTTCAGTTGTGGATTGTTTCCCAAAGCATCAGTTTTTTATTCCCATTTTTTTAGTTTGTTTCCAAGACAACGTAGATGAAACAAAAACAAAAATAATTATCAAACACATTTTTTTTTTTTTACAAAAACTCAACAAAAATATAAAACTGCAAACAAACAACCCCAAAGTTTTTTGGGTGATATAAAATTTTGAGAATTCATTTTGGTGCGTAGAAACAATAAATTTTGAGATAATCTGAGATATTAAAGGGTAGTTTGGTTGGTTTTTTGGGTTTGGATTGATTTGTCCAAACCCTTCTAATCCCAGAGATGAGATTCAAAGATGGGATTCAACATTCAATGCATTTCATATCCATGTTTAGTATGTGCATGAATATATAACTATTATGATAATATATTTGTATATAAATCACTATTGTGCTCCTTAACTAATTTAATTCAAACTCATGTTTGTTTAGGTACATGAGTTTTATGGGAGTATAAATGTCATTTTGTATATTAAACTCATTAAGCCCCATATGAAACCCAGCCCCCACCGGGTTTCATGAAACCGATGAACTTGAGTTTAAATTGCAGGCTGGGTTTAGTAAATTGGGTTACAAATGTAGATGTCAAACATGAGTTTGTTGGGTTTTGTGGACTTTTATTCCTCAACCCATCTTCAAAATCCCTCCTTGTCCCACATACTTAAAAGGGCCTAATAGTTTGAGACAAATCGAGATAGTATCGTCCGTCGGATGATATTTTTTTTTTTTTATCATAAAACGACCTTAGTTGTTTTTTTGCCTTTGAATTCAAAACTTGTTCTATTTTATTATATAAACTAGTAATTGTTTGTATCTAAAGATACTATTTAACAAACAAAAAAATTACAAGCAAGCTTGAAGATGGTATATAACATAAAATATAGTCAATCAATCAAACCACCTAAAACTACCTCCAACTATTCAATCCAATATGTTTTAGAATATTTAGTACATCATAATATTTAAAATTAGAAATAGTGATACATTTCATAGAATCAAGACTAAAAAAAATGACGTCTAATATTAGATCTAGAAGATGGATAGATGTACAAAATTGAATAAAAGAGAAGAGGATATTATATTAGTCACAAAAATCAAATACCAACCAAATGCAAATTGAAATTCATCCCAAACTCTCGCAAAACATTAGATTCATAAGAGTATTTAACTCAGTTTTCAATGTAGAGAATATCCATTAGTTAACATAGTTATGTTAAATCCATATCAAGAACATATGAAACAAAAAAGAAAGTAAAGCTGAGACCTTAGCTTGATATTTAATCAAAGTCCAACATACAAATCTAGGTTTTTTAATTTGAAACTAAGCATGATCACCTGTGAAAAGATTGAGATAAAATCCAAATTGAATTTGATGGAAACTTATCATCTTTTTAGTGCTTGTTTTGAATTAATTGCTTCATCTAGGTGTGTGAGGTTGGAAAATATATCATCTTTTTGGTTTGTCAATTTAGTACAACTACAAAAGCTCTTTGTTTTTTGGGTTTAGAGAGTAGGTTTATATGGCCCTAGACTAGAGTGCCTACTTTTTGAAATTATTTAGCATATTGGAAATGGCATAAATTCTACAGTTGAGGCTTTACCTGACCAAGATTGATGCTTTATGTTATAGACATTGGAACGCCTCTGGTAAACTTGTATACAGGGTTCTAGTTTGATGGATTCGATAATGCCATTTGAACATGTTCACTCTACTTGACCATCAAAGTCTAGGACCTTCTTTTCTTCTATTTTCCCTTCTTTTTTTCCCCTTTTTAATGTATACTTGTTTTTTTTTTCCTTTTTAATCCATGTCTCAATTTGGGAATCTCTTTCATAAGAAAAAGGTGGACTATTGGTTTACCCCCATACTGTGCAAATTCTAGGACTAGCAGTAAATTTTGCTTTTTTTTTTAATAAGAAACCAATCTAAGGAAAATCAATACCTCGCTCCCAAGTAATAGATGCCTAAGTTGATAACAAATAGTCTCGAAAGCATTCCAATGAAATGGCATAACAAATTATGAAACTAATGTCTAGCTTTTGGAGATCCCACCCTTGTGAAAGAGTAATTAGCAAGGAGTTACAGGCAAAAATCCATTAGGCACCTATAATTGCATATGAAAAATGCAATTCATACCAAAAAGTACTTTTACCAAATGAGTTGGTGGGGTTCAAGAGTGAAATGAAGGTGTGAACTCATTTAGTAAAAATATCTTTTGATAAATATTTTTATAGGCATGACATTAGTCTTGCCATATAGGTAAGTTTCAAACTGTAAATTAGACTATTCACTGGACAAACACACGAGAACAAGCATAAGCACTGCAATTTTACCTCTTAAAACAATATTTTTCAGCAGAAAATTCAACTCAAGGTACAATCAAATAGTATAATGCTCAACATTGTCAAAATCTCTCTGCCAATCTGACAGAAACTGCTCTAAGTTTCAAATAAACCTTGCCAGCAGGGGACCCCATGATAAGGCTACAGAGAGAATCTCTTGCAATTTTGACATTGGCAAAAGAACTTAGTATATGAATTTTGGTGTCTACAATCACAATCCGAGTCTTCGTAGAGTTCTTAATTGCAAACTTAGTTTTACCCCATTTACCAGATAATCTTCCAATGGCACGAGACAAGTGCTCGCCTCGAAGGGTTTTCACATTTTTGATCTCAAAAGACTCCACATAGAGTTCGTCCATGAGGAGAAGTGCAACGACGTCAATCACGTCGAATCCAAGCATGAAAACGTGCACAAAACAACACATTTTTGGAGGTTACTGATGTCGGGTGTGTCTGATCTGATCTTCAATTCAACCTTGCGAGCTTTGAGATTCATATGAATGTCGATTTTCATCTGCTCGTATATAAGAGTGTAAATTTCCATCCACGCTTTTCTTGAGAGGCGTATATCGATGCGGTAGTATAGAGACTTTCCTGAACTAAACTTGACCATCGGATACTCGTGAGCCTTCAAGGGTGCAAAGTTTGGTTTTGAAGCAAAAGATACACGATTTGATTCAGATAGAACTTTCTCAAGTTCCATGGACGTGGCATCTTCATCGGACTGCATCGTATGATCTGTAAAGAGAGATGCGACGCTATCCACAGAGAAAGAGAGAGAGAGAGAAGGGGAGAGCCGATGAGGAGGAGGAAAGACATCGAGGTACAGCTACAAAGCCGTATCCTCTTCCTGTTCTTTGGTTCACAAAACCCTATAATGTGATTGCTGAGTGGATTATATGGGGTCAACACTAACCCTGACAAGGAGGAGATAATTACAATAACGGCCTCACTATTTGCATCGATTTGAGGAGGTTACCCTCCGAATTTAAAATATTATAGTGTGCCCTCTCTAGTTTAATGTTGAAATTTAGATGACAACTTTACCGTGATGAATTGGTATAAATTATAAACGATGTGTGACTATAACATGGGTAAATTATATATTTGTCCCCTTTACTATGACACTTTTTAAATATTGTCCCATAAATATCATTTATTTTACATCATACACTTAATCATGTGATTAGTTTAACACCGTCTCAACGATTAACATTCATTATAAATTTAAGAAAAAATTATTTTACTTTTTTTTTCAGAAAAATGTGATTTTTTTTACTTTATCCCAAAACTTAACAATTCCTATTAAAAAGAAGGCAATCATTTGTATTTGGTGTAATGTAAAATAATTTAAGTAATTTAGGAAATAATGTGAAAACTCAAGGGACAAAAGAAAATCGAGTCCATAAATTCAACGACAAAGAAATATATATAAAAAAAATACTGAATCTTCAACCGAGACATGGTTTGGTCCCATAATTTTATACCCGACCTGACTGAATGTCTAACTCTTCCCTAAAAAAAGGTTAGATGATACCATTTGGCCTAGGGGTGGACATGGATACAAAATTTCGTTACTATTTAATGTCGACATTCTCTCACACATCTCGATGGACCCTAGGCCTTAAAAACGACCCATGGATTGTAACCTTTGTCAACCAACCCACACTTCATGGAAGAAAAATAGATCTTACGTTGATTTGAAAATATTTTTCCAGTCTAGAAACTTTTCATTTTACTTGGGAGAATATGAAAAATTTAAGTTTTTTTATTTTATACTCTCAAAAATGAGATTTTTTATATTGTACTTTCAATGTATTAAAAATATTTTAATATGGTACTTCTATTATCTTTAGTTATTTATTCTGTCAAAATCATTTTATTGAAGTTGACAGAATGAGTAGTGAAAATTAACAACAGAACTATATTGCAATAACTTTTAATATATTGAAGGAAAAATATGCAAAATTAAATTTTTAAAGGTGTAAAATAAGAAATATTAAATCTTTAAGGATACAAAATATAATTTACTCTTTTCCTTGACCTAAATCACGCCAAATAATGACATCACTAAATCTTCCATCTGCTTTCCAAATTCGAATACTTCTCTCTTCATTGCTTTCCTAATTCAAATACTTCTCTCTCTCCTCTGCTTTCCTAATTCAATTAGACCTCACACCTATATATTCTCCCTCTCACCCAATTCAATTGTCTCTCTCTGTGCACAACACCCTTCTTTCTTCGCCCGCCCCTCTTCTCTTCTACTCTCCCTCACTTCTGTCTTCTTTCTTCACCTTTTTCAACAACACAGACGCTATTCCCCTCTCTTCACCGTATCGGCCGCCACTCACAGGTCACCAACAGCCACCAACATCTACGATATCTTTCCGCTCTCCCCTGTTTCTCTCGCCACCCCTCTCTTCTCTTCTCTCTCATCACTCTACGCATCTCTGTCTCATCACTGCCTCACCATAACGAAACTGCTACGATGCCCTTTCACGCACCGCCATCGACGCTGCCCAGGTATGTCTCCCTCTCCCTCCCTCTCTGCTCCTTTCCTCTCTATGTGGCTCAGCGGCTTCTTTGATTAACCCGACCATTTTTATCCTTCTAATTGCACAAAACTTTTATTCTTTGCTTGATGGAATTGATCCAGTCTTTGATTTCCCTGTGTGGAATTGGTAATGCGTTCTTGGTTGAATAGAGTTATCACATTAGTTTCGCTTCTTTTTTTTTAAATTTGATTTAATTGAATTTCATGCTGTTTTTTGATTGCAATTTGTATTGTAAAATTAAATTTAGGTTCTGGTGGTTTTTTTGATAGGCTCTGTATGAATCACAAGATATATAACTAATGCGTTTCGTGAACTATTCCGGTGTTTCGGCCCAAAAAAAAAAAAAAATTCCGGCGTTGAAACATGATATGGTTAGTGATTTTGTTAATTATCTTTCTTTTCCTTCTCTATCTTACTTATTTATTAACAGGGTATTACTATAAATTCACGAAGTATATGTGACTGCGATTTGTGAAGCCTTTTGATAAAAAAAGAACAATTCTGGCCGTTGAAACATGATGAGATTAGTTATTTCGATAATTCTTTTTTCTGTTATCTTCTTTGTCTTTGCATTCGTGGTTCGACAATCCCATTTTTCTTTTTTTTTTTAATTTAATAGCAGCCTATGACCAAAACATCTTGTAAATCTATTTGAGCACATGTTGCGATTTTACTGTTCCTCCTAACTTTGGATTACAAATAACTGTTTTGTTCCATTGACACTATGTAGCATTTCTAATTAGCAGTTTGGTTCATATCTTAAAAGAAAAACTAACAACTTATGTAAGTAAATGCATATGATATTTCTATACACATGTATTGTGACAAATGTTTTTCCTCAATTGTGTGTGTTTTGGCATGTATCTGTACTTGCGCTGGAGTTCATATCAGATACTTATAGATAAATTTGTGTTGTTGGATCACTTTGTTCTAGAATTTTGTGTTTCTAAAGAATTTTATTGTTCTCTTTCCCACAACTCTCTCCCTCTCTCTGTGTCTATCTCTAAGCCTCTTTAGCTGAACATTAACTATTTTCTATACTAGCAGAGCATTGAGGAATTGAAGCAGAGCTTTTATGCACCATCGTTGAACTTGGGCTAGTAAGCGTGGAAGCAAATGAAGAATCGAGAAAGAACAAGGAATATGAACCAATGGTTTCCAAAAAAATCACTAGACGGGTATGGCTACTTCGTTTATGCTTCATTCAGTCGTGCTATATGGATAAAATTGATATTAATTATACTATTTGATTTGATTATCATGTATTCAATTAGATTATTTTATTTTATCCATGCACTTAACTGACATAAATCGTAACTTGATTTAATATATGAACCTGATGAATATATACGATACTTACTATCAATGCTAATATTTTGTTTGTAAATCCAATTTATGAGACATGTAACATGATGGTGAGTCTTGGTGTGGTGTGATGGATGTTTCCTCTTGCTAATGCTCATTTTTTTATGATTGTCAATTTGTTTGGGTTTGTTTAAATGGTTTGACTTTTTCACATGGCCATAGCTTTGTTGCACTACACCGATTTTTTATCATTGTTGACCTCTACAAATGATTCTTATCAACATGATTTTCTTAAGGTTTATGCCTTGATTTGTATTATGTATAGACATTGAATTGAAAAGAGAACGAACAACTAAGGGAAGTACTCATATTAATGTTAGTATTATTCTGGTTATGTACATACATCTATCAGAGCATGTATTGATTTTTTGGGTTAGTTTTTCATAATTTTATAATAGTCTTTAGTTTCAATAATGTATTTGCGAAGTTCATTTTTGAATTCAGTAGATTTGCTTTTTTGGTAATGTTAATGTGAGAAGGTAGCTTGAAGTTTAATACATGTGAATAGATGTTTACTATTAAGGGATATTGATTGTGTGAAAGTTTTTGTTGCTAAAAAGTAGCCAGTTTGATTTCCATTTTCCCTTTTTCTCTTGTATCATGAAAGTTATTTTTTAATATTACATCACCCGACAAATTTTATGCATGCTTGTGAGTCCATTATGCAGTTTTTTTGTTCAATTTTGATATTGATGTATTTCTCTTTCCCTTTCTCCCCTATGTATGCACACACATTGACAACACGTATAGAATAATTTAGGGATATCCCCTTTATTTACTTTCATTAGGATTGTGGATAAAACCTGTTAAAACATAAGTGATATAATTAGCAATCCTTAATAGTTACGCTACATCATAGCATTCTTATAGGTATAATAATATAACTCGAACTTATTACAATGTACATGTTTGTTACAACACATTAAGTTAATATAAACATAAGTTGGTAATCCAACATACTCGGTATTTATATCACTCGTGTAAATTTGAAAAAAAGGAAACAACATAGGATGAGCATCAACAACTCTGTAAGAAATCTCAATTCTAAGGCACACAGGTTCGAAAATAAGTACTTTGATATGATTGATATTATAAAGTACATTCATATCTAATAATGTGAAAACGTTAAACAAAAAATAGTTTATGTACGAAAACGATAAAGCCATACCATTACAGTGTCAAACCAGAGAAAAAATATTCTAATAGACCACTCAGGGTCAATACGACCCAAACAATCCAACCTTTTAGGAGTCTTACACTCAAAAAAAGAGACGCTCCCAAATAACAATTCGCCCTCAAGTTCGAAGACCAACTAGGTCGCACTTGCATTTACAAACTCAATGAAACCCTCTACGGTTTCAACTTGAAATGTAAACCCTCTGCCACTTGATCTTGTGTGCACTTATATTTAATAGAAAAGGATCTTGACTTCTCTCAATCATTGAACAATTCAAACGATTGTTCAATGCACATTTCCGAACCCTAACTGATCCAGAGTTCCAATTCAATACGAACCACCTGATCATAAGTTCACAAACATGTTAAACAACATTTATAACATAAATGATATATTTGTAAAGAGAACGAAAAATGTCGCCTATTTCAAAATTGAAAAACTTTATCTCGATTTGCGTATCGTTCAAAAATTGTAAAAAATAGAATAATGAAAGCTATCAATGAAATTCCACACACAACTCTATTTTAACTAATTAAATACGAGTATAAAATTAGTTTGTTCAAACAACCCCAACATAGGGTCAAACTGAGACTTGAAGTGCAAAATAGTTATCTTACGTGAGATATTAACTGA